GTCACATGTAACATATACTGTAGCTTCACAGGGTGTTCTTTTTCCACATGAATATACACCGATCAGCCATAACATTGTGACCACCTTTGCACGCTGGTGGTCAGAATGTTCTGCAGCCCCATACCAACATACTGCTCTGCTGTGTGTTCTGATCTCTCTCTTTTTTTGGGCCTTTTTATTTGATAGTGACAGACAGCTGAAGACAGACAGGAAAGGGGGCAGAGAGAGGGGATGACACACAGCAAAGGGCCGCAGGTCAGATTCGCTGTGATAACCAGATAATCACTGTTATTTACTGCCAGTGCTCAGAATGTTGTGGTGTTAATCTCCCTGCAGCTATTAGACCCCACATATGTTCACTTCTCATATAGGCACAGGTAAAACTGACAGCAATAATGATAACCTTCTTCCACCATTTGAATGTCCCAGTAAGCCGTGCCTCTTCAAGCAAGCTTGTATAATAGAAGGAACATTCCAATATTAACTGCACCTGTCCATTCCATGACATGTTAGAGCATGCCACACCTGCATTCATTGATTTTTTGGCCACCTGTTAGCAAAAGTGTTAGCAAACAATTCCCTGTTTACACATACAGCAGAAACAGGGCGACATTAGCATCATTAGCATGGAGTCACATTTCAGTCCAGTGTTCACGCTCCTCTCCTTTTAGAACAGTTTTGGATATATGTACTGCATCTGGCTCTTTAGCTGCCCAATGTTTAGCAGGATTATGGAAAAAACTACTAGCCCAATGTTCATTAAACTTGGTTTAGTGTAGCATGGGCAAAGGAAGAACTCATGCAATTTTAGAGCAGATCCGAGTCATGGGGCAGATATACAGACCATTTCTCACTCTCGTTAACATTGTGAGATCATGAATGTCCTGCCCGTGACTAAACATACAACAAAACCTAACAACCACCTAAAACCAGACATGTTCAAAAACCATTTCTGCCTTCTGAATTCCGATACCCTAACTTTGCATATCGTTCAATTCGGAGTACCGATCCGATACACGTGTTAAAGAATATTGTTATTTTTTAACAAGCATATACTAAGCCTGCGTGGTTGCTGTCATTGTTGTATGACCTGGCTCAGGTTAAATCCTTCATCAGAATCCAGTAGGGGTCATGACTGCTATACCGGGAAAAAGATGTTGAAGTAGTGACCCCAAAACAGGACCCCGCTACTTCCTAGCAGTTTCCTGCTCCAGGGCTAATGAATTACTTCGTACAGACACACGTACTCGTTGATACCCGATACCGCATTTTAGGCTGTACGTAAGGAATTTCTGTGGCTGATATCAGAACAACTCTACCTAAAACATCACTGCAGAAACGATACACCTTGGCACATGGGTTGGTCTCCACCAGTCTCCAATTCACA